CAATAGAGAAGAAATCGCTCTGGGCTCGAGACATTACAGGGGAGAAAGGTATTCTTCCCATCTCGGAAAAACTCTCCCAGGAAAGAGTATGCTCCATCTTCCTCAAGTTTTCTGCATGTGTAAGATATGCCCATGGCCTTCTGCACACATCAGGATGTGTCACCCGATTTGCTCCTCCTACACTCAAGGACTGCAGCAGAAAAAGAGGAAGGCTGCATTTGACAGAGGATGAAAGCAATCTGGAAAGAAAACGTCTCGGTGCTAACACACTCACTGCAGGGAAGGTAATGCCACGGACTGCACTGACTGCGAGCAGACATGGCTGAGGCTTTGTGGCTTCCTCCTGAACCCTCTCGCTGTTTCCTTAGCCTGTAGGTTGACGGGTTTTGAGTCATGATTTAGTCTTTCTGAGCACATGGAAGAAGTTTGCCTTTTCAGTGGCCATAGCCTGCCTGCCTCAAGCCGCCTTGGCAGACACAAACGGAAGGTAAACAGGCAGATGGGCTTACAGATTAAACTTCAAAACCGGTTAGAATTTATTCCAGCAGATCAACTCAAGCCAGGTGCAACCCTGAGGCATGATTCGGCTCGCAAGAGGTGACAGATGAAGTGCCACCTTCATCATTCACAGGGTGTCGAGCGCAGCTTTCACAGCTGGAAATGGAGAGTTAGCCAGAGCTGTAGCCTAAGCCAGAGGAGCACACGGAGCGTGCACCCACCTGGCAGCGCAGGACACCTCTGCCCACCCCGCGCCGCAGCTTCAGAAGGGACTCATGCTCCCAGTGCCCTAACCACACACGGATCAGCGCTCGTCGGTTCATGAGCAAGACAAGGCAAGCTGCCACTAAGCTGAAGGTTTGGCTGTATAACCACACACAGGAAAGCAGTGCTAGTCTAACAGCCAAATGTTGCATTAAAAATCAACGGACATGTTTGAGCGCGTATGCATTTTTCTTTAGAAATTATTAGTTTTCAAGGATTTAGAATGATTACAAGATAAAAAGACTTTTGCCTGCACAATGCCTGTGTTAGCACAGCAGTAGCTGGGAAAGCTTCCTCCCGTGCGAGCTGTTTTCTCTTACAGGATGAGGCTGCTCCAGGCTCCAGCCCTGTTAGGATGCATACCCAGCACACCTCCTGGCTGCGCAGAACAGCTCAGCCCACAGCTTGGTTCTAAGGAAGAACAGATGAGCACAGAACAGTGAAATCCATAGTCCTGCTTCACATAAGCAAAGTGAGGGAGACAAAACAAAAAAGATCAGCAAAAAAATTACAAGTCTTGTTTAGGATATGACTCGATGCACAGAGAAATCTTCCTTGAAAAACAGTAGTAGGTACAGAGAGGTAGGACATCTCGCCCTGGGAGTCAAAAGCGTTATGGAGACCTGCAGAGCCCAGGGGCTGAAGAGATTGTGCTACTCTGCCAGAGCGTTGATCCTGTAGCCTTCCTTTCCAGTTGTTCTCCTGAGGGCAACGCAGGACCATGCACAGGATCATCTCTTTTCATCTTTTGCACACTTGCAAGAATGATGTGCTCTTCTGCGGATAAAGCCTTGAGTCACAGCTCCCTTGTCTCTCCAAGGGCTCTGACTGCAGAGACTGAATCACCCTACAGCGAAAGGCTGTAACAGAAAGCTGGTGTCACTGCACCCTCCCCTCCCTTTCTCTTCCATGAAAACGTGACCGCGCTAGAAATAAACATTGCTGCACTTTGGGAACTGCTCAGAGGGAAATAAACAGCAGAGATGCTTAAAAATTTAAATTAGTTGCTGCTGCTGTCCCCTTGGCTGGACACCTCTTTCCCAGCTGAGACCTGGAAGTGACACCCAGCCTGCCAGAGCCACTTTCCTGCACAGGTATGCGGGAACGGGAAGAACCAGGGCTAACGCAGCCATCTTTTGAGTCAGAATCTCATCTCTTCTTTATTTCCAGCGCCCGTGCCATGCACCACTTGCAACACTAACAGAGCAGCACTCAGACCACCACCTTTTGTTGATAGCTTCTGAAGGCCATGCTAGACCAGTTACGAACCCCGAGACTTGTTTTCAAACAGCATGCAAAAACCCCAAACCCTGGCGGTGGTGTACACGTTCTACCAAATAGACAAGAAGCGTTGTGTAAAATTATAAATGGACAAGCACTGGCCAATTTACAACAGGACCCAAAAAGTCCTGCCTTTACAGGTAAGTGAACTAGCGAGCCCCAAAGTCTTCCACTGACGTAGATATATAACCTAATCCAGATGCATTTACACGGTTCTGGAATGGACGTGTATGAAACCTGAAAATTAACTTTTTTTTATGATTTAAAACCAGTCACATTACATACTTTTTATTTAATAAAAGTTAAAAACAGGTACAAAAAATGTGATTCCATTTCTTTAAAATATAGGCTCAAAATAAAAAGACTGAACAATATAGTTCAGGCAGTAAAGTGCAACGAGAGCAGTTATCCCAGTCATGCTTAATCCATAAATAACCCTTACACAGCAGGAAGGAACAGAAAGAGCAAACAGAGCAGAGGCAGCCACACCACGGCTCAGCTGTTCATGCACAGCCACAGCAGAAAGGGCCGCACGTCCTGGACCCAGGCGGTGAGAGGCAGCGCACACCTCGCAGGAGCACGCTGCGAGGAATCACAGGCCAAGTCAAACTAACAAAGAGGGAGCCATCACTTTTCAGCATCATGACACAACTTTTTGAAATTCCATATTCTCCAGTCCATCATTTCTCCCCCACAATGCAACAAACTAACACAACAATTTACTAAATCATGACACGAGTTTCCAAACTGGGTTGCTCACGTGACCACCATAAATGGTTAGTCAGTAAAAACAAAAAAACACAAAAAAACCCCAAGTACTAAATTTGCTACTGGACTGAGACAGGACACTCTTCCTGCAGTTAAAAGCATGCTAAAATGGCATCCAAGAGTCAAATTTCTTGTTCTAGGGGACTTGTGAGGAAAAATAAAAAAAATTTTAAAAAAATCAGCAATGTCTTTTCCTTCACCACACAAATTTGGAAAACTGGGTATCAACAGATAAGAGCAACACTACAAGCATCCACTTGACCGGGAAGATGGCTTTCAACCGAGCCCTCTGAAGAGCACAACGCGAGGTCTGCACACGCACACCCCCACCAGCACGTACGCTGCGGGCAGCGGGACTACAGCCTGCGTCGAGCGAACAGGGTGCGGACACTTCAAAGGTCAGGCACAAGAACTTCAGTACACTGAGCACAATACTCCAATTTAGCGCAGTTTGAAAACTTACTATCATTAATTATAACTATAGACTTAAGCATAAAAGTAATGACATGTTCTGCTTTCAACTGAAACAGGTCTCTGCTGATTTCAGGGGAGTGCTAGTGGAGATCAGCAAGTCTGCTCTTACACAGATGAGAGCCATGCTTTGCCCACACCGAGAAGCAAGACCAGCACTTTAGAACAAGAAAGCAGTGCAAGAGAGCGCATTCCTAGTAATCCACATTTTCCACATCCAGTAAAAAAAGTCCTCCTCAGTGCTCAACTAAGCTTCAGTGCAGGAGTGGCTGAAGGGAGAAGAGTCCAGCAGTAATAAACACTACAGAAATATTTCCTTCAGCAGGTGAGCTGTCTCCCAGCAAAACAGCACCTGGTGCCTGAGAGCACAACAGCTCAACTGTCAACTCGGCTACAATACATATGTACACCCTTCCGCACCACGGAAACCCAGCAGTCAGACTGTGCTACAGGCATTTTATTACTCACACCATGCCATTACAACACAGCACTGCTGCAGCCAGCGATTCCACTTCTGAGCCATATTTACACTTGGTGTAAAAGAAAATCCATTCAACAGGGAGAATATCTCATTTAATAGAAAAGGGTGATTTTATACAAAGTACTGTGGAGAAGTATAAGGCCACATGAAGAACATCATCAGGTTGACATGGTGGCTATTTCTTAAGTCAAAACACAATTAGTACTTCCTCTGGTGCTTTGATACAGGTAAATGAAAGCCTTGGAACAATTTCCTATAAGGTGCACAAGCATCCACGATACATAAAAAACCTTAATTTTCTATTTATCCTGTACTCAAAAAAAAAAAACCACCCAAAAACCAGAGACTCAGCTAATTATTCATGGGTTATCTTGCCATTTTTGCATTTTTCTGCAGATTTTGATATGCTGGTTTAGTAGGACTGAAAGTAAAGCATAATTTTTAGTGTCAAAGCTTCTAAACATGTTTGTGCTTCTACCTCCATCAGAGAAGTCTGGCTTCTCCAAACTTCACTCCGGTGGAGCGTGGATTCAGTTTTTTTATGCCCAGTATGTCAAACTTCTACCAAAAGTCACAACAGCTTCCACTTGCTAAGGGTATGAATTTATAAAATGTTGATGATTTCAACACTTCTTTTCTGAAAGAAAGTCATTCTGGTTTGGTTTGTTTTAAAAATGATGACACACTTAGATCTCAAACCTCCAATGTCACCTGCGTAAGGAGGGTGTAACAGCACCAGCCCATTGCAGGATCAGGATCCGCAAGTGTGAAAATCCCAACCACTACAAGTTATCAAATATTATGTGTTTACAAAATGCTCTAAATGTATTTCTTTAGGTTTACTAAAAAGGAGTTTCCAAAAGTCTGGGTCTCATCCTGCACACCCCTACTAATGCAGATGAAGTAATTTGCCTGCATACCAAGACCAAAATGAATAAATACAAAATATATTTGGTATAGAAAATACTAGTATAAAAATTAAAAATCATCCTGTTTTTACTGTCCATCAAAATATTAACAGCAAGCATTACAAGTGACTTTTTTAACCTATTGCCAAAATCATTTCCAAAGAGTTCTGCTTTCCTGAAGTGCTGGTGATTGCATTTGCCCAAGTATTGAAAAAAAAACACAAATAGGGAAGGGATGAGGAAAAATAGGATAGATTTCTCACATAGCATTATTAACAGAGGACCTAAAGGAAACTAAAGTATGCACAAACATGGGGGGTGGAAAGCCATTGTAAGTTCTGTTGTAGCCATTGGAGCTCTTCCTGATTTTCAGAAAGTTTGTAGAGAAAGAGCTTCCTCTTACTAGCCCTGACAGACAGACGATGGCATGGGGATGAGCATACTCAGAGCACTGCTGCTTTTCGGTTTCTCTGCTGTGGCAATTCTGTTGAGTTTGCCAACCTCCGTCTGCCAGCTGGGGATCTTCTTTGTGGTCATATGGCGGCGGGTGTGCTTCGTCAAGTGATCGCTGCGCATGAAGCGACGCTCACACACAGGACAAGCGAACTTCTTCTCTCCCGTGTGAGTTCTGCGGTGGCGTGACAGTTCATCTGAGCGGGCAAACTTCTTGTCACAGCCTTCCCAGTTGCAGCTGAAAGGCTTTTCTCCTGCAGGACATAAAAGCAGCATAACTTACTTTTGAGAAGCTGTGCTACAGTTTTATCAAAGTAGTAACTTAAATCCTGCCTTGCAAAAACTGATGAATTCCACACAACCACTCACATGTGCAGTCAACATTAGCTTAAGCTCAAGGTGTGTTCCACAGAAAAATCACAGGTACCATTTCTACTTATTCCCTCATATCTCTTTAAAAGTTATTTAATCGAGTCTATTTTTTCCAGTTATCCAAGATCCCTCATCTTTTTCTTTAAACTGGATTTAAAGCTACCTTATCTGCTGACTGAACTAGGACTGACCCCCTGCCGCCACCCCTGGGTGACCACAGCTCTACGGTTGCTGATGACATGCAGCAAACACCAAGGGCAAACAGGAAGGCTGGAGTGGAGCCTCAGAGCCCTGCTGCTCCAGAGATCCAGTCACACACACACACACGCCGCCCCAGTAAGTACTACCAAGGAATGCCCTGTCTGGCCATCCCCACACGGCTGGAGGTCCAACAGACAGCTAGGGGAGTTCTGCACACCCAGGAATGACAGCAGTCAGCAAGGCTGCCCACGTCAGCTCCTGCTCATCCTGGGCGACTGCTTAACATCAGCTCTACCCTAAACAACGTGATTTACCAGCTGCAAACCCCGTAAAGCTCAAGATAAACATCTACCATGTGACCCAAATTTATGGTAACACTCTGGAGCAGAACAAAAGCGTCCAGCAGAAAGGAAGCCCCACAGAAGCGTTGTTCTTATTTCAGATATTGAGAGTAAAGTTCTGCGTTTGGTGGATGTGGTATCACCTAGCTCCTCAGTGCACAGGGAAGAGGTGGGAAAAGAAAGCTGAACTACTCTGCCTCCCAATCCTGTAACGTGGACTGGCTAGTGAGGGGTTGGTGTGCTTCACCTCTCATAGATGTCCTAGTCTTACCCACAATACAGGAACACACACAGAGCTCCCTATGGATCAGCAGCAGCATGCGGTCAAAGCAAGGCACTTGTTACTAGCGTTTATCCTGTAGTGCCAGATTAATTGAGCAGCCTGCAGCACTTAACTCTCAAGCCAGCAGTAGAAGCATCATTCTACCTCTGAGCTCTGGTTAACAAGGATTATCAGCTTCATACAGGGTTTAAGCTCTTTCCCCAAAGGAACTGTAAAGACAAGCTGGCAAATTAATGCAAATCCTGCCATTGAAGCTGACATCCAATAAACCACAGTGTCTGTGGGGCAAGGGACAGTGGGGGAATAAAGCCAAGGAAAACCAAAATTAGACAAACTTTTGAATAAGTTATTCTGTACCAATCTCCTGCTATGCCTATCCCTCAACATCAAAAATGGTCCCTAAGAACTCAAAGTTAGTTTTAACTTAACAGGATCTTGGAGCTAGAAAAAGGATAAGTAGAACACATGTATACTGACTCCACACTGACTAGATTTTATGGGGCAAATCAGCTCACAAAAAACACAATTAATTTTCATTTACCTTCATTTACCCTTTCTGTAACTGAATAAACTGCTACATTCCTGTAGCAGCTCTCCTTCCTAAAACAGTAGCCCCAAATCTCAATGCATTACCATTTAGCCTAAACAAAACTCCAGAAAAGTGTGCAGTTTCTGACTTTCTCTTTTCTTTTACTCGTGTAAGAATTAAGAGCAACTACCTGTACTATGGTTTGCTTACACCAGAGTTCTACATGCCCCAAAAAAGGGACTTGCCCAGTTCATTTCAATCTAGTCCAGATGGCAGGATTCCACTCAAATCTAAACACGCACGCAGACAGCAAAGCTTCACTCCAACTAAAGCATGTGAAATCCAACTAACACTACGGGGTCAGCTGAGGTCTCAGAACAAAGTCTGTCTTGTTTTGCTTGCCCACAGAGAATGAACATTCCTCCCTTCTCTGAGATGAGCAGAAGTTTCCTGATCACCTGCCTCTTCCCTTTCCCACCCCCTCCCCCCAAAAAATGTGCATTTCAGCTCCCCAACGCAAGCCAGTGCAGGAGCAACAAAGAACCTGCCCGGTCATACACACCAGTGTGGGTGCGAAGGTGGGCTTTGAGGTGGGAGCTTTTGAAATAGGTTTTCTTGCACCCAGGAAAGTTGCAAACATAATTCCTCCGTCTAGAAAAGTCTATCTGGGGAGCGCAGCTTTGACCAGAAGCTATGAACACAGGAGCAGGAGCAAGGGGCAGTAACTTGGTGTTCCCAACAGTCATTACTGTTTGTGGGCACTGTGGTGTCTGTGTGACAGCAGTCTGTGGAAGAACCAGCATGACGGTCCCCTGAGGCACAGAAGGTCCCATGAGTACAGGCTGAGAGAGTGGGGCTCTCTGCGGTAAAATAGGTTTCATGGGAGTTGAGACTGTTGGAGTTGAAGGTTTGACATAGGCATTGATCATACCGCTTTGTCCATTTAAAGGGATCATTTGACAGAAAACTTGGGGGCTTGAAACGGGGGCAGGTGTCACTGGGGTAGCTCTTTTTTGCAAGTCATTCTCACAATTCTTTGGTAAGTGGGTCTGTGGCGAAACAGGTTGGACTGGTACTTGTCCTTTATTGGTCACAATATCATTGGAGTCAGGTGCATAAGGCTGATGTACCAGGGAGGTTTTGTTAATTAAATCATCTGCGGCACACGTGTCCTGTGGCAGTCTGGAATGTCTTCGGTCATCTGCTCCACACCAGTCTCTGGAAGTGCTGTAGCC